TGTTTGCGACGTGGAGTCGAGCATTGTCGTGCAGGAATTTTTATAGTCTTCGGATTTTTCCCTTGACGTTGCAGTGCCCGGTCTATACTTTCGAGCTGTTTAGCGTATAGGTCTGCTGTTACTGGCTGACTGTGAAGTAAGTATAAACCAGTGGCGGACCGAGGGGAGGGGGGGGGGGCGCCCCCTCCCCTCGAGAATGGATCGCAAAATTTTTGAAACTTACCTATATGGGTTACTAGTTGACTTACCCGGCTCCGCCCGGCCTTGTCATCATTATATTCGTAATCAGCATGTTCGATTACCCCCCTGTGCCAACTCCCAGCCCCGTAGCTCAAATTTTGCAAAAAATCGATAAAATCGACATCGATCGATGACGAAAAGTAGCCTATGACACCCGCCGGGGCCCGGAGTGTATGTGTGCCAAGTTTGGTCCGGATCGGTTCAGAAATGGAATTTTCTATTCGGAACATACGTACAGACATACAGACAGACAGACAGACATACAGACAAACAGACATTCAGCTTTATATATAAGATAAAAATGTGCAAACGACTTGCTTATTTTTGTAAGTAATTAAAATAATTTTTAAAATATTTTAAAAATTCAAGTTAGCCTTATAGAAAAAAATTTTTCGGGGACGCGGCTGACGCCACGCTCCCTTTTTCCAAACTTTGCAAAAATTTTGAGAAGCACCCCAAAAAAATTTTCGGAGTGCGTGGCTAAGGCCACGCACCTTCTTTTGAAAAATTTTTTATCGCCCCCCCCCCGGTCCGATATTCTGGGAGCGCCACTGGTATAAACTAGTGTAAACTTGGCCGAACTTTTTTTGACCAACCTAAAATTTATGATTAAACACATACTCTTCCCTGACGCTAGTCGGTGATTGTGAACATGCAGTTTCATTATCCTGCTGTTATTGAAAACTACTAGGCCTCACTCCACAAAAAGGGATAATCACAACATACAAACTTTTCAACTTGTTTGCAATAAAATCATGTTAAGTACAAGAAAAAGATTTTGGTCAGTAGTATTGCGAAGTCTCTGGAAATTTGCAAGTATAATAAACACTCATTCATACGTCGCACAGGATGGCCAAAACTATTTTGGCTATAAAATACTGGCTAGAGTACGTTTTACCCTCTGATTCGACTGGATTGGCGGCTGGAAGGCGGGGCTCTGTGACTTAACTAAAGCTGGAAAATGTTCAGAGAGCACGTTTGGGGGGGGGGGGGGACGCAGACTGCGTCATGGTCGCGAGCGTTTGCATTCCAGCCGCCAATCTCATTGAATCAAAGGATAATACCTGTTAGCTCTCAGTCTTCGCTCAACATCCGTACTGCAAAATAGTCAGCGCCAGAAGAGGGGCATACCGTTGGGTTGTTTCGTACTGCCGCACTGGTCGCAACTAACCGCACAGACAACAGTTGACAGCAGCTAACCAACCGCATTGACCGCACGGCCTGGCGGCTGCAGCATGCTTAGGTAAAAAAAACGAAAAATCTGACTAAAGAATGAAGCCAGGACTTTTGATCTTCGTAGTCGTCAGGTGTTTCGGTCGTAGTCGATGTCCTTCTTTCTTTTAACGTGAGCGGTCAGTGCGGTCATTGCGTCAATGCGGCAGTATGAACAAACGCATCGAAAACACCTCTACGCCAGTTTCTGCAACGATAGTGATGGTCTCGGGGATGGAATAAACTTTTATCCAAGTGCGACCGCCGCTCAATTTCGGCATCGTGGAAAATGCTTTGAGAACTGCTTGAGCTTCTGTATTCAAGTTCAAAATCTGAATCGGAAGGACGAGTGCATAGCCATCATTAATGGGATGGCCACTTTCAGGACCTTTGCGGCTTTTGAGGTCAATTTTAGGTTAGGTCACTGATATATATAGAATAGAGCTCACTCACTGGTATATGTCTGCTGACAGACAATCACCAGCTATCCTGAGTGAGCACTGGTTTAATTCTGCATTTACTTTCTGCCTCTCGATTTACTGACGCATTGGACATCTTTTCTGAGTCCTGAAGCTGTTTTTGATGGGACGGATTACTCATGCATTCGACGATCTCAGACTAAAAAAGGCGATTTTGAAACTCAGTCGAATAGAGCAATTACTAGTCCCAGTGTAAGGCCCCGGACAGACTTCACGCCAATTGATCGTAGCGATTCAATCGCCGTGATTTCCATTCATTTCCATTTTACATTCAAAAATTTCGGGTTGGAAAAGTAACACAACCGAATGCAAGTTGATTGGCATAGAATGATGTTGTAACAGTTGTCTTGTCGCGATTCAATCGCGACGATCAAATCGCGTGAAGTCTGTCCGGGGCCTGAAGCTCAAGCACTTCTCAAAGGAATAAACTATACCATAGATGCGCATGTCATTCTATCCACGGACTGCATAACGACACGAATGGAAGGAAGCCGATGGTGACTGCCAAGCAACCGTCCGTTTTGTTCAATGCAGATTCTTCGCAAAAATTCAAAATGCTTTCACGCCTTCTGAGGCCTAAGGCATACCTTACGCGATTTTAGTCGCCGCGGATTTGGCACTGCAACGATTCTCCATAGCTGGTTGTAAACGCACTTTGCTTGGGCCAGACTTTCTTGTTTGTTACAATTTACGGAATTACGCATCCATGCATCTGAGAGTCTCGCATGCTCAATCTTCAGACATCTGGCAAATCGCCAAGTCGCGAGGATGTGGCGATTTCGCGAAATCGCGAGAGGTCCTTAGGCCTAAGCCGATGTTTCCTTCTCACATGTCAAGATTTCGCAATTTAAATCGTCTTGAAAACAAAGTCATACGTTTTGTCTGCCAGATGTTTGTTTTGCGAGTAATAAGCGGTCATCCCGTTTCCTCAACATGGAGAGCATGAGCCTTAACTCAATGCTCTCTACATTGGGGGAACGGGAAGACAGCTTGATATTCGCATGAACGAACATCTGGCAGATGAAAGACGTAAAACCCACGTTGAACAGGAATCGGGGAGAAGCGCATGGTGGAGACGATTTCGAAAAAAATGCAAAATATTGACGTGTGAGAAGCAAATCTCGGCTACAAAAGCGCATTCTGGATTTTTGCGAAGAGGCTTGGATGAGCCAAAAAAAGAGATGTCGAGTTTCTGCCTGGACGCTGCTTTTGAGTCATGAAGCGGCCGACCCAAGGCCTTTTTCTGCCGCGATCCATTTTCCGGCTGGTCCGCGGATGCGCGAAAATCCAGCCGCAACGTATTTTGGGTCCGCGGCTCGTCCGCACTAAGCTCAGTGTATGTGCTTCTGTGGTATATTTATTTCATTCGCCCCGGTGCAGAAACTGACGTAGCGGTGTTCTCAACAGTATGTTCGTTTCTGGCGCTGGCAAATATTGCGATAGGGATGTTGAACAAAGATTGAAAACCAGCAGAGAAGATGGTGCTTAATGGCCTCCTTTCACAGCTGACTCTTCGAACCATTTTCTGGCCTCTGAAGAAGACGAAAGGCGTCGAGAGAACGTTAGGATTTCGTCCACGTGATAGCTCATGCAATACGATGATTTTGAAAGTTTGCTTACAGAATCTATGCTGTTCATACTGATCCGAAAGTTCGGCAACTGTTCCGGCACAGCGCTCGCAGTGAGGCCTATGCTGAAACTGTCCCCGAGCTTTCGAATCAGTTTGAACGCATTCTAACAGTAAGACATCTATATTTGAATAGCTTGTTTTGTATAATCCGTCTCTGATTGTGTAAAATCCGAAATAAAATCAATTCACACATGGACTCTGAGGGCAAGGTTTAGGCTGGGTTCATACCGATCTCTAAATTCCGGAACAGTTCCGGCACAGTTCGAGCGCAGTATTGAAACTGTTCTGGAACTCACGAATCGGTATGAACCCAACCTTATGCTGCAAAGTATCTTCAAAGAAATATTGGTGGGCTTTACCGATGTACTGACTTTCGCTCTTTTGCTATGCGCATGGAAAAATTTGTAGTGTTCTACAGCGGCTTTTGGCAGGTGCGATTAGATCAAGGAGATTTTCTATAAACCTTCTATAAACCCCAAGTTTAAGGTCCTTCGAATGCTTCACTTAGATATCTCATTCGTTTTCTATCAGAGGCAACTGTTGAATAAAAAAATCCGCAATTTGGGATGTTTATACAAACTTCGAAGAAAGAGAAGTGACTTGGAAAAGATGATTGGCAGCAGAGATCATCGGGGAATATGCACAAACTAGAAAATGCGACTTGCGTAACCTTCTTTTCTTTGTTCATTGAGTCACTGGTTAAGGTAATAGGATAATGGAAGTACAGATTTTTGGAGCTCAGGGAAATAAATCTTTCTTTCAAACTGCGCTCTCCTTCTCAGCGGGTTTTCATGCTTGCGTCCTTTCACTTTTCTCACCGCTCTTCTTATTTTCCGGAAGAGCGATAAAGGCTTCATAAAAACTTCTTCAAGGCTAGTGACAGGGTTTGGCACGAGTTGAGCGGATTTCTTAAAACTTAGTTCGCCCTCAATTTTGCAAAATTTCTGCGAAGTCCACTTTGACCTACTTGCGCCCACTCGCTATATTCAGAGTGACTAAAGCAGTAACTACATATAAATAATCGTAACTCAATAATTGAAATTGTATTGAAACACAAAAAGCAAATAGCATAAACTTTGAATAACGAAGAAAATGAAACATTGCGCTTGTACGCGCTTCGCAATCGGAGGAACTTCACTATCAGAATTTTTGTGTGGGCTATAAAAAGCGTAAAAGGAGAAGAGACCGTTTTGTGCGGTTATGAAAATAAGTAGTTCAGAGCATGTAAGTAATGGTCCTGTAATGACTTGTTGGAGCCGATGAGGTGTTTAGATAGACGATCTCTAACCTGAAGATTTAGTTGTATTACTCTGCAATTTTTCCGCGAAATCCTGTCTCGAGTCTCGCAAAAACTACATCTGCTTTGCCTTCTTTGGCAAAAAAAGACTTTCACCTGACCCAGCGCCAGATTGCTGGGCCATGCGAATGACAAATCCGTGATGCCTTATCGCTTCGAAGCAGATGAAGTGGATGAGGAGGTAAATGTGACGTCTGTCATAGTAGTACAAAGCAGTGGCGTACCGAGGGGGGGGGGGGCGGGGTGGGGGGCGCGCGCCCCCCCCCCCCCCGAGAATGGGTCGCGAAATTTTCGAAAGCTGCTCACATGAGCTATAAAATTGTGCAAATGACTTGTTCATACTTGTAAATAATTAGAATATTTTTTAAAATTTTTTAAAAATTCAAATAAGCCTTATAAAAAAATTTTTTTCGGAGGCGTGGCTGACGCCACGCCCCCTTTTTCTAGATTTTCGGGATTATGAGGCCGGGAAAATTTTTGAAACTACCCCTAAAATTTTTTCGAAGTGCGTGGCTAACGCCACGCACCTTCATTTAAAAAAATTTTTTGTCGCGCCCCCCCCCCCCCGAGCCGAAATCCTGGGTACGCCACTGGTACAAAGTGTCTTTATTGTACAACGGACGGGTTCGCAGACGTTGGTAAAATGGACTTTTACCCTCTCTAGAACCGTATTTCCTAACGTTCGTGGATAGAGACCGTTGTAGAAATTTGAATCTGTTTTTTCAGCATGTACAGGGCAGTTTGCAATTAGCGGCTGATGAAAGTCTTTTTTAAACGTAGCTATTTTGTAGAGCAAAATAAGGTGAAGCGCAAGCTGTTTGTTTCACATGAGAGCGATAATCACGAGAATGCTGTAGGAAAAAAAACCTTATCTGCAAGCACTTGAGATATAGCAACTCAGACAATTTGGCGCTGCATTGTCACCACGCCGGCACGCGGACAACTCAATGCTCATTTCTTGTACACAAGATGATAAGCAGTTTGTCTGCGACCATAGACATTGACAACTAAAAGATTTTGGTACGCAATGAAAACCAAAAGATAAGTAAAAAAGGGATCTGGATAATTCATGATTTGGATATTTGCCACATAGAAGTCTATTAAGGTGTGCAAACGAACGAAATTGCATTTTACCTTTTTTCACAAAATTTTCAAATTATTCAATACGGAACCCTGCACCCAGTACTCTTCGCTTTGTTAAAAGCTTAAGATAATTTAATTCGCAGTTGGACGTTTCACTTAATAATAATTCATAAGTAACCTTGTTTGGTTCCACTTCCACCGGGTTCCTTCCTTGTAAGCTTGTGTAGACTAGCAGTGTTCGTTTAATGCTTTGCAAGCGCACAAAAAGTTACTATTACTTGTCACAAAATGTTTGTGCAATTAATTATGAATTTATAGCTTGGTTTTGTTCAACTGATTAAATTAGTAAACTTGTAAATATCTCAGTTCATTGAAATTTTTCCCTTTACTTTTTCTCAAAACACTGTTCTTGAAACTGAGATAATCTACAATTTTTCTTCTTTCTACGGACTGTTGTTTTCGGAATAAAGGCGTTCGGCATTGTGAATTTTGAGATTTATTTGATCAGTTACGAATTCATTGTGTGTTGACGTGTCCGACTCAGTGTTTGCCGCGCGCCACTCAACTTATAAATTCGTTACAAACATTCGCATCCCTCAGATTCCATTACAAAATGCACGAAATCATATGTTACTTGTCCTATTGTTGAGTAGCGCTGCTTTCCATCTACCTCTGCAGCAGCAAGTTGCTTATAACGTTTACTATCTGTTACTAAATCATTGTAATCGCAGAATTCTGGCTGCAATCGGTGAGAAGATGTTTATTCCACGTTTCAAAATTGTGAGTCGCCTGACTAACAAAAGGGATGTACTTCTCACTTTTCTAATGTAGTCGCTCTTCTCTTTTACCGTTTCCTTCTTCTCACTTGTTTCTACAAAAATTTCACTCTCATCTTTAATTTTCAGCCTTCGATAATGCAACAAGAAAACGTCACCGAAGGACCTCTTGCTTGTAACTGTCAATATCCAATAATTCTTATTGCCGTTATGGTAATCACTATCCTCATTCTTTGCGTTTGCGTATCTCTTTGCTGCATCGATGTAACTAGCGTGAGTTTCCATTTTGCATCGAGGTTGGATTTATGCGGGTTAGCTGTGTTAAACAAAGCGATTACAGCTTTCCCCGTTCAAAAAGCAGACCGCAAAGGTTCGAACAAGATGCGTTCCTATCATGGATGCCTCTAAGTTCGTGAAACGGAAAGGCAGCTTTGTAAGTTTTTACTCTGTGAGTCGAATACCTGAATCACAGATTGTTGCTGCTCAACGCTTTTTTGCGATAGCAATTACACGCAATACTAACGAGAAAAAAAGTCAGTCAATGTAATAAAGTCAATGAAGTCAATCATTGAGCTAACCAGTAATTGCGTCTGCGCATCTCTGAACGATGCTCTCTAGTTCTAGATGATAAGACAATACTACTTCTCGCTCCTGTTCCATATTTCTAAAGTCTACGTACTAGAATTTTTCGATTTGAATAGAGCCGAGGCAAGCCTTTCAAAGACGTTTGCGGAGAAAGACAGAGACAGACGAACTTAGAACATACCAGAAACTTGAGACTATATTGGGTGTGTAGCTCACCATGCAAAGGGAATCTCGACCAGGGTCAAGCGTGCTGATGCGATCCGGGACCCTCATTTACGACCCCTCCCCCTGAAGGTACCCCTCCGTACGACCCCCCCCCCCCTCCACCTACCCCACCCCTCTCCTCCACTTCTTTTTGCGGTAACCTGCATAAACGAATGTTAATCTCAAAGATGCCTGCCAATGAACCTCAATCAAAATTATGGTTTAGAGAAAGATAACTACGTACTTACAAATTGGGAGATAATGCGAGTGATGCTTCAACACTCAAAAACAAATAATTCTACGTAGACTGGGTAAGTAGTAAAATTTTACAAATTGTCGATGCTTATTGTGTTTGGGAAAATATGAATGGAAAGGACATCATCTGACAAAGAAGAACATCGATTTTAATTTGAATCGTACTCGAGCTGTACTCTACCTATAAAAATGAAATAAAATAAAAACCAAGAAAAATTCAGCATCACGGAACGGTTCACTCTAGTCATTATAATTGACTATTTTATAACAACCCCTTTTCTAGTAAAGGTTAATAAACTTTTCTGCTGTTTATGAATATTCGGCATAATCCTTTCATAGTCCAGTGGTACCGAAAGATATAGACTATGGTTCTGGAAATTAGAACGTTTCAGACTTTAATGACAATCACTGTTCTATCCCCGTAGCGACATTTTTTTGCAGGGAGAAAAAACGATATATCTGAAGCGTAAAAATTGTTTTCGATTAAAAAGCTTACTTTCTAGCTATTGCACAGATTTTCCTGCGAAAAAACCGTTTTAGCGCCTTCCAGAACGATGTCGAAAACGTGCATGAGTATTGCATAGTATTGTGCCCAGACTATCCATGGAATAAGATTCAGCCATTGAGGAGCAGTGAGCTCAAAAAAAAATCTAGATGCGACTGTCGCAAATTTAGATGCGATCCTAAAAAGCAAAAACTGGGATTTTTATGCTTGAAATTTTTTAACTCACCGGAGAAGTTATGAAAAGCCTAAAATTTCTATGATAGAAAGTGGGAAGATGGGCTCGTATTACAGCAAGATTGCAGCTAACAAGCTTCAACAGCTCAGCAGAAATTTAGATGCGACCTAGATACGACCCCCTTTTTTCATTTTTTGTTGCCATATATAAAATTTTGAAAAATCCACAAGCTGTGATATATAACCAGATTCAACTGTAGCAGAGTATCTCCAAAGTGCAGGTAAATTGTATGGGCCCTTGAGAGACAACATATTTTTCAAAAAATATCGATGGTCATCGCTGGTAGAGATGAGCGCTTTTGTCAGGAGTGTGGGACTTCAGTGATGCTTCGGCACCAGGATTACTAGGCCAGTTGGTACATTTGACATTCTTCTCACACATATATGCGTAGTGTTTGAGCTAAAAGTCCTGTCTTCGGAATCTTCGGTCATGCTTGTGGCCAGCAAGTTCGATCCCGGTCTACGACACCTTTTTTGCAGGGATAAAAATGCTGTTTTTTAAAGAATGGAGAATGTTTGCGACTGAGATTATTTCCTACATCCCACAGTTTTTAATTCAAGCCACCCTCTCTTACGACCCCCCCCCCCCTCCCCGCAGGTACCCCCTCTACGACCTCCCGTTGCGACAGTTGCATCACACGCTTGAACCTAATCTTGACTCAGAACATGAAGGGCAAACTTGATGCCACTGCATCCGAGTAATGGTCCTTTCATTGCTATATAGCCTTGCTATAATGAAGTAGCCAAGGCTTTATTCGAAACAGCTGCGATGACCCAGGGTCAATTGCAGCTCCAAATGGCAAACTCACGTATACTTGCCAGTCTAATTAGCAAGTAATTGCCTATACTTCACCAAAACAATATTTGTGACTCTGGAAAATACTTCCAAAAGTGCAATAGCTGCAGTTGTGTGCAAATGTAGTCAGGTACCAATGTACATATGCTGACCATAGACCCGTCTTTGCAATCAAAATTGCCGTTGGTCTCTATCGTGAAAAAAAGCAACTCATTTTACTTTTGATCGTTTATTGAATAGTTGCAGATAATAATTACAATTTTAGTTTTCTGAAAATGGTGGGATTCCCGGCTACAAGATGTTAAACAACAGCATGAGTATTGAGAGTTGCACATGTTCAGTGCCACTTTCACACTCATCACATTCGGAAGCTTCATTGGTTTCCACGGTTTGACACTGTCTGCATTATGTTGTTTTGCTACATTTATGACCTCATAAGCTTTCACAGGTACATTCCTTTACGCCAGATTGCTCAGCAGTAATTTTCGTCAGCTTTGTTTACGATCTGGTTTACAAAATCCTTATTTTTGTTCTGTATAAATAAATATTTGTGTAACCTCGACGGCTTCGCATATTATCGATAGTACAGTTATTATGACATTGCATGGAAATAACAAGTAGCAGAGCAGGGAAGAGTACGTCATACACAATACATTCAGTGCGAATGAATGAACAATGCAATAATACAAGAAAGCTTACAGAAATGCTGAGAGAGGTATAAAGAATCCAAGTTCTAGTGAGTAGAGCGAATCAGAAATTTTTAGTATTTTTGATACATAATACTAGAATACAGGGTGTCCCAGAAGTAGGTACACACTTTCCAATCGTCAATATCTCTCTTTCCACTGGGTTGTTTTCCGCCGTTCAAGAAAGAACCTTTCTGTAGAGGAGGCTTCAACTTAGATTTACAGTATGGAGCGAATCACCGATCGCTCTTTATTACTATAGGAATACGGTAAGAACTTCCAGCATGTGGAATCATTGCGAAATATGCCATCTGACAAATTAAAGAAGTTTGAAAATCGTGTACTAGGGTTCTCGCGCACGCTGATTCTACTAAACAACTTTTTACGAGTGTTTTCAGCTTTTCTGACGGTGTAATCACATTTCTGACAAATGCTGGAAATTCGGTTATTACGGTTTTTCTGGGATAACTTTGTAAAAAAGCATCACAGTAAAGCGGAAAATTCATATTAGAAATCAGCGGCTTCCATTACCATAGTATAGGATTTTGCTTCATTGGTTTTGTTCCGAGGCAGAATATGGCCTTCAATGGCCTAAAATCCTTGCCATAGTTCCTACACTAATCCTACAGTAATGAAGAGCGAGTGATGATTCGCTCGATACTGTAGATCTAATTGTAAGTTAAAGCCTTCCCTACAGAATGGTACTTGAATGGCGAAAAAAGACTCAAAAGAAAGAGAGATATTAACGATTGAAAACTGTGTACTTACTTTTGGGACACCCTATATAGTATAATCTAGGTTGCATCCTATCAACATACATCATACATCCTTTTTGATCAAAGGAAAGAGAAATATTAACGATTGAAAACTGTGTACTTATTGGGACACCCCCTATAGTGTAACGTAGGTTGCATCCTATCAATATTACATTCTTTTCGATTTCCAAAGTACAAAATATTCTCGACATTGTTCCAGCCATTAGAAAACAAAAAAGCATAGCAGAAAATACACTTATTACGGCGATTTGAGCGAAAAAGAACTCGTCTAGCTCTAGATTATATTAGAATGTAAATCGACTGTACTACATGTTGGTCTATAGGATTAACATTTCGTTTTATGAGACGAGAATCATATTTTAGATTCCGCATAACACTGATCATGGTTGCAAAAAAGTAAAACATGTAAGGTGTCCTTTTCTATGTTCGCAATAGACGGGCGAAGTTACAACGATATAAGAAAATGAATGCCGAGAGCAAATTACATTGACGATTCGTCCCGGATACATTAATCGAGCGCCGGAAAAAACCATTTGCTTTGATGCACTGGTTGATAACGTCATTCTCTGTAATGATTTTGGATTACTATAACGAGCGATTATAGTAATTACAGTAAATAGTGCTAAGTAAGGGCGGAGGCATGATTTTGAAAATATGACCGATTGTATGAGAGTCTGTCAGGGTGGATCCTGTGGTGGAGAAAGGTTTCCGCTATAGGCAATGAATAACAGATCATTTGATCTTGATCACGTACTCAGTGCCTTGGTGACTTCAAATGAAGACGCCAGCCGTTGTTCCATTCTTGTTGATTTATCATTGTTTTTTTTGTTTTCCGCCTATGTGCGGCATAAACTATTTGTTCTTCTCTCTTCACAACAGTGACCCTCCACTCTTCCAGCTGATGCGTGACAATCCCACATAAAAAGAGAGAATGGAGGATAGGTGCCAAAAATGGGAATTTATATAGTACCATGTTGGTGCCAAAAACAGATAAAAAATGTTGCATCCTCTTCATCGGCGCACGAAGAATGAGCTTTTCAAGCAAAATTAGTTTACTCACACTTTACTGGGGATCAAAAATTCTTTCTAACAAGGAGCAGGCTCGGCATATGTGGCTTATAAGCAAGCTGGATATCCTTTTTGGAACAAAAAGCAAAAGGGACATAATTTTTGTGCCAAAAAAGCACAATTGGGTTACGTTTTTCCAGTCGACGTTTCGTTTTTTGAGGATTCTTTGCGTTTGTGGTTTAGGGTCAAAAGGAATTGGGACTTCGTTTCTGCATTTTCGAAAGCCACCGCGTGCCGAGCCCTGATAAGATCCACATCCTGCCAAACACACTTAAGATTTTTGCTTTGTGCGAGAAATATCGCCTTCTGCACCCATACACGCTGCGTGCAAGATCCAGCGTGAATTTACATTTGACACTTACGATAAATGTGAGATTACCTCTTGCATTAGTCTTTTTAAGTCCGCACTGTTGCACTTTGGTCTCGTTTTCGCTTTGTATTGATATAAGCTCGTCCCCATTTGCTGCTTGAAAATTATCATCAGTCAACGTAGAAGCATGATCTAGCAAGCAATTTACATACCCGGAGCTGTTTACTAGTGCCATGGGTTCTGCGTCTGGCCTGCCTACCATTGGCAACTTGTTGTTGCTGAAAAAAAAATCTCCACATGTTACAACAACAATGGTGCAAAGCATGCTTTTCCAAACTCACTTTTCCCACCGTACCACTCTCCCGATGTTTTCTGTAAAACCTTTTACCGAGCTGGTCGTCTGAAAATATCAACTTTACTACTGATGCTCGATCTATTTTGTTTCGAACCTTCTATGTCGGCTCTCTCTCTCTCTGATCACTAGGGAACCAGTCACAGCAAAATTTGGTCAACACAAAGTTTGTTACTCTTACGAGATTTGCATTTATCGTAGGAGGAGTCTCCTTGAGATTATTTTTGGCTTTTGCTATTTTTTACTACCAGTCAGTCACTTAGTATCATTGGACCCTACATTGATGCGCTTTTCACTAATCTAATATAAGTCAAATACGCACGCCACAAACTTTCATACATTTTTCTTTCATAAAATTGATGTTTTCAGCCTAACAATTGAATAGATTATTTCATTTTGATGCGAAATTAAGCGCGAGAACTTACACAGAACACATGCGACAGAGCTTGAATACCGAAGAAAAACAATTGAATAGATCATTTCATTTTGATGCGAAATTAAGCGCGAGAACTTACACAGAACACATGCGACAGAGCTTGAATACCGAAGAAAAACAATTGAATAGATCATTTCATTTTGATGCGAAATTAAGCGCGAGAACTTACACAGAACACATGCGACAGAGCTTGAATACCGAAGAAAAACATACACAATTTTGTAGGTTTTGAGAAAGAGTGGCCACGGATAGTTCCATTTGGTGACGATTCGGGAGTATCGACCTCCTTGTAACCAGTGAATACTGTCAAAGTTTCTTTGTCTGGGCCTTGGAGTGATATTAGTCCTACATTCCTGGATAATGTTAAAAGCGTTACTTACACGGCGGTGCTGTTGGCATTTGCATTCGAAATGACGGTTGTGGTCTATCTTTTGTTTCGTACATCGGTCCAGATACGTCATACTCGGAAGGAACAAATGAAGGGGCGCCCGAATGACTCACGGGTGCTGACTAGAAAAGGTGTCTGCTGCATAGTAGAAGCTTTTCGAGGTAAGATTTACCATAGTTTCAATTTCATTTGAAATGTCCAAGGCTGTTGTGCTCGGAATAACTCGTGGTGTTGTACCGAAGTAATCACGTATGGATTGGGTAGTTTGAAACAGCTAAATTTGAGTTATCAATCAGTACTACCTTAATATCTATCAGAAACGCAACTGTGCACACGAAATTTGCGAAAAGAAAGGCGCGGAACAAATTAAGTTGCGTCCATTTTCCAGAAAAACAACTTTGTCAAAAGAGTGTATCATACCTCTATGTCCGTTTCTTCCACTTGCACTGATTTTTTACCAGCGGGTCGTGAACGTGTTGTTGCCTCTGAACGTATACTTGGAAGCAGATGAGGAATGAGGGAACGAGTATCAACCTTCAGATCTTGGTCTTATGTTGCTGTCTACTGTATTTAATCCTATTGATGCATCATCAATGTTAAGCTGCCGCTCACTTTCGGCTTTGTGTACTCCCGTCAGTTCCGAGGTTACGGCCTGGAAATACATATTTCTTGGTGAATACTTGAACGAGCTCACTAAATTTTTAGGCTCTAGCCAGCATTTCGATTTCGTCAAATTAAAAAACTTACCACAAAACTGTTTGCTGTAGTTGTATCTGCCCAAGCTGCTAGAAGTCCCTCTATGGGATCCACTGTGGTTGTTATTGCTGTTCTAGAAATGGGATTTGCAGAATTAAACGAGAATTGATTTGTCTATTCTATACAAGAGGTTAAATAGGATGACTGCTCGGAACTAGGATGAGTCGTTCAAACACAGTCTACGAGTGGTGCAATGACATGAGCTGCCGCTATGATACAGCGTGATTAACGAGGGAAGTTCGTTGGGTCAAAGTGGCGATTCGGAAGGTGATATATATATATATATATATATCAATGGGTAGAACGTAAAACGCTGTTTTCAAATATATCTTCACTATTTGCCACGCATTTTTCTAGATGGAGTTATGGGCTTTTTTGCATATATAATAAATGTGTGATCTAGAAAAGAAATGACGACGTGTGGGTAAACAACATGGTGGAAGAGTGAAAAACACTCGAAAACGTTCGGATAAACTCAAATAAGACCACAATTGTTTATCATGTAATTTACTTGCTTGCTCACTTTTGTGAAGAAATTATCATGATTTCGCAACTCAAAATGCACGAAAATTTGGCATTAGAGAAGCTCATAGCTTTTTTCAGATATAGAAGATATATCTGAGATCAGCGTTTCAAGCTCTATCCAACGGTATAGATCACTTTCCACTTTCCGGATTGCCACTTCGATTAAGCGACCCTTGTAGGATTCAATCTCTGCTTTTGGGTTGACCAAGTCTTATGTTCTTGGTACGCTTGAGTGGTAGCAGAATAATCTAAAAATCAAAGCGGTTTGGCAGCTTCGATCCCGAGAAGTATCATAATGCGCATGCTCTGAGTAAATTCCACTACAGGCAGAATGCTTTACTCGCATGCTGCGAAGGATATTGAACAATTCTTTTTATTTTTTGGTTCTAAAGTTGAACGAAGAAAAGGTTTTTTTTTGCTTTTGTATGTGATGGAATTTCGTGAATATACCATTCATCTTGCAACCGGCGAGCTTCAAGTAAGTAATTTGAACTTAACTTCACCTTCACTTCACTTCAACTTCAAGTAAGTTCTTTCGAAAATTAAACTAGACCCTCTCTCCTTAGTGAAGAGTCCCGGAGAGGGTCTGGATCTCAAAACTCCGTCCAAGAAAAGGGACGAAACGGAGGTAAACAACATATATAAAATTGTTTTTCTTTATATAAGTGTCGTGTTGAGAAAAAAGAAAGAGGGAAAATGTTTGAAACGAAGGTGTAAGAAGTGAGCGAAAAGATTGGTTGCTTTATTCTACGTATATTTTATATTCATTCTCCATTTCAAGTTCAAACTGTTACGATCAAGAGCAGTGTACTATGAAATTGTTGCGATTTTGACCACTGTATATTACCATTGGCTAGCTGTAGGATATTAATTGCATTCAAATTATTCAAATCGTGTTTCACCGCTTTATGAACTGAAACCGAATATTTTTTGTTGTAAACATGAAAGAGCCCTGTGTACAAGAACATCAGTTGCAGAAGTAAATTTTTGGGAAATTAAGGGCTCAATGTTTATGAGAAATGAATGTCTGAATGAGAATGAGTTGATTAATGATCAGAAGTGAGAATTCACAGTATTTGAATGAGAGTGGCCATGAGAGTTGAGATTATATAAATTGAAGAATCAGATCAATAAATACAAGATGAAATGGATGAAGAAAAGAATAAAAACGGTATAGCGAATAGGAAGAATAAATTGTTATCGCTACTCAAGTGATTTAGTTGATGAAAAAGAACGAAAATGGATGTTACGACCGATTAATGTAAAAGGAGTTCTATTTCGAACCTTGCATCTTCAGGGTCCAATTCTAGTGTAGGTGTAAAAGGCTGTTCGTCTTCCAAATCTTGTGTCGTCGTGTAGGTAGATGTCGGGTAGGCAGATGTAGTACCAACTGTACTATCTTGATTTTCTTCATTGAATAGTTCCACATCGCTTTCGTCTACAGGGATAGTCAAGGGCGTGGAAGTGGCGTCTACAGGGACAGTCAAGGGCATGGAAGTGGCGTCTACAGGGACAGTCAAGGGCGTGGAAGTGGCGTCTACAGGGATAGAAAAGGGCGTGGAAGTGGCGTCTACAGAGATAGAAAAGGGCGTGGAAGTGGTTGAAACAGATGTTGTTGATTTCTCAGTTGTAGGTTCTTCAGCAGGCGGCGGTGTTGAAGGGGTTTTTGCTGCGTGCAACTGAATTCGCGGTACTAGGCTTTTTGTTTCTTCCAAAAAGAGCTTCTCAAGGCTTGATTGGCCATTGCTTTCCGTCTGAACGTAACGGCGTTATACTTGTAGAGTGCGACTGGGTAAACTTACTTTCGTAGTTGAGGGAGGTACCTGGACGACGTAAAGAGGCGGAAGCGACCTGAACACGCTTTTACCGTCGTTCCTAAAGTAATAAAAATACGTACCAATTCATTGGTTCCGTTTGCTCATTTCGTGTCACTACCAGCGCAGGCTGCTTTAGCACTGGAAGGGGCACCGCTGGTGGTGGAGTCAAGAGATCATAGGTTTGTGTAAGTCGCAGCAACATATGCGGATTGTACTGTGGGTAGTCAGCTAGAACGCCTTGGGGTAACTGGACCATGGGTGGGCTCTGCGGCTTTGCTGCTACGCCTGAAGAAGTTTCGATGATTGTTAATTCATAACGATTATTGCTTACAATTTGACCCGAAGCAGGGTTGACAACCTGGATTCGTGACGAAGCATGTGATCCCACATGGGCAGTTGTTGGTATTTGTTGGTACTGGGTCTAAATGTACTACTACTGTAAAAAACGAAGAACGGGCATTATTTAATTCTCACCAGTTTACGTGATTTGTATGTAAATGTTACTCAAAAATGTTTTAGTTGACTCAACTGTCTTGCGACTTGTGAAATTCTATTACCGGTTAATGTCTGCCATATTTATAAAATTTCTTGCATGTAAATCTTGAACTGGCTTTTCAATTGTCTTCACCCTGATGGAGTTACTGAAAGCTTTGATCTCGTATTTTCTTCTGCACCTTTACTGCTCATACGTAGAGAAGGTGCAGGAGAGGCATGAGCTTGATTAATTCAGCATGAGCAGCTCAGATAATACATAGGATAGTTGCATTAAAAATTGGTATATTACAAAGAGCACCATTACTTGGATTGCATACGCTCAAAGTTTTTATGAATCATCTTTTCGAGGATTGGCATTGATTATCTGATAGAGTAAAAGCGCAAGAACTTTAGGGAATGAAAACAAAAACAAGTGTAGCATTTTCCCCTCCTTCTTATGATTTGATCCATACCAACCTTCGATTTCTGTCTTTGTGCTCCCGCTTCTCATTTTCAAATTGAGCTTTTAAATCCTCCTCATAGGATGGCTTATTGTGCTAAAGTAATGTATCCCACTGGTAGATTATTTTTTGTGTATTTTTACCTGAGTAAAAGAGGAAAGCATAACCCGTAGTTTTCACCATTAAATATTTGACTTCCCCTTGAGAATTCTCTGAATTTCCATCTTTGGACCTTTAAACTAGGCAATTGGTATTACAAGTTACATTTATGCTCACATATAATGCTCATTATCATTGATTTTTATTAGGTTGTTGCAAAAATAATGTCTGTTTTTCTGGACCTATATTCCAAACAACTTTTTTCCATCAAATTTTCTTTTTCGATACAGATTCTGCACATCGTTAGAAAGCTCTCTTCATGTACTTTCTAAAGGCGGTGAAATTAAGCTGCTATTCTCATCTGTGAGAATTACAGCAGCATTTTGCACATCCGCACTCAAAATCGAAATCTCATAGCTTTCACTTTCTTCACCACATTTCAGGAGCAAATAAACGAATTCTTCTGAAAACATGATAATTGTATTAAGTGAAAATTGTTTACCTACTGCATGCTTACGTAGATTTTTGCAGGTACCTGGACTGAGAAATTGGCGCCTCGAAATAGAGACGCGCTGCTGGCATTCTATGGGTCAGAAATTTCTCATAATTAAGACAATCGCCAAAGCTTCGCCCATTTCTGTAAGCTTGAGATTAGCACACTTCAAGTATAATATTTGATGAGAAACTTAGCTATTCAGTGCTCGAAGAATTCCAAATTTCGATAAATTGGCACTTACAAGCCTACAACAAATCGGCTCAAAAAAGTGAACATTTTTGATTTTTTACCTTTTCTTTTCGCAGAACTCCTTCGTTGGAGTCTTTTCCATACATACGTAAACTTATGGCTTGTGGCTACAAAATAAGCTGATTGTCAGCCATACGAGCAAAACTTGAAGGGAGTTGTAAGCTCCTAGAGACGAGGTTTTTAGGAGAAGAACTTTCAGTTTCTTGACGCGTGGTTTTCTTCCCGTCTGCGATATCAGTAGGAGCAGGTGCGCTCTAAGTTACGGAAGGTTTGCTGTTTCTGACCGTCTCAACCGCATTCAAAATTATGAAGACTGAACGAAGTTATAGCCCTTCAAACTTAAACTTTGCAAAAGAACATTATTTTTGGAACAACCTAATATTTCTCCTCCTCTATGACAAGATAATAACCTTTGTTACACCAAATCTCTAACAGTTATAGGAAAACGGCATGCATTCTTAAGTTTTCAAAAGAAATTTCCAGCATTTAACTTGGAAAAATATTGTTAGTCAGAGATTACAATTGAATCACATACAAGCAAGCAAACATACATGGCTCAGTTTGACTGACGTTGGAAATTCAGTAGCTTTAAGAACTTCTTATCATTACCGCATGTCTTCTAGATGTTGCTTCACCGTCTGACTTCATCCATGCTACTCCTACAAAGGCGAAAGAGTAGCTGCTAGGTAAGCGCTCTCTGATTCATGTTTAGTGTGGCGTCTGTCATGAGTTCATTCTTATTATTATTATCCATTCATTTTTTATTCTTGCACTCAACCACGAGATCAACAGGAAGAACGCACTTGTTTGTTACAAGTGACTTGGTGTCCTTTAAATTATACTAGAAGGGGCAGAGGAACGAACACTTCAATTAGGCACCGCCTCCGCGGAATACTGCTCAGATAATCGCAGGGGCGGTCCACAAACTCGCGTTTTTCTGCAGGCGGTCAGCAGAATTTTGGGGCGTGACCAAACCTTCAGCGGGCGGCACTTCCTTTACTGTCTAATGTTCTGCCAGCGGGCAGCAACACAGAATTTTCTGCAGGCGCTCGTCAAATAATCTCTTTCAGCGAGCGCTGGTCAAATTTTCGGCTGGCGCTTGGACGGTTTTATGCAGTTTCGGGCGTACGCCGAGCAAAGGTGGGACTCTACATGGCAGAGGTGCATCGATGGTTTAATTGCGCAAGTTTGAGGTACTTTCTCTCAGCGGAAAGTACCTAGGGGCTGCGCGGTCCTCCACAAAGGACCGTGCGGCCCTCGAAAATTTTGCATATTCTCGCGGAATCTGCGAGAATGCGGCCACTGCGCCGCAGCTAATCTATAAGGAAACCGCGATTGTTCTCTAAGCATTCGTCTAAAATTTCGCTGATATTCTTCCAAATAACTGCAAGAGGGCCGCAAGAAATCGGCAAACTATTTTTCCGGTGCCCGCTTGCCCAAAAATCGCCTGGCAGCCTGCCCCCGGCGAGATCTGAGGGTCGCAACACGATGCACAACGGCAGGACGAAAGGACCAGCAGCCCGCGGAGGCGGTGCCTAATCGAGGTGTTCGTTCCCCTATCCTACTGGAAGCCATAGAGGCGCATTACTGTACACGTTTTTGAGTTACACAAGTTTAAACTCTTTCACAATTTGATCTGTGTACAGGGTGTCCCAATAGCATGTGTACACTGTTTGATCGTTGATATCTCTCTTTTGCCTAGCTTTAAGTACCTTTTTGTAGAAGCTGGCTTCAACTTAGATTCACAGTATGGTGCGAATTAACGATCACTTTCCATTACTGTAGGATTACGAGAGGAGTTTCAAGAACGGCTTTGAGACAATAAGGGCACTACTTCGCCTCAGAAAACAAACCAAACATGAAAACTCTTGCACTCGGCTGAGCTAACTATAAGCTTTGCACTTTACAGCAATGCTTCCTTTACAAGTTATATCAGGTAAACGCAATAACTGCTTTTACAATGTCCCTTAAGACGGTGCTCACACCATTTGAAAAAACTTTAGAAGCTATAAAGGTTGAGTAGTGAAACCAGCATGAGGGAAACCCTGATACACCACTTTTCAGAATTTTAAGAAACTATGGCCCATAGTAAACCCCCATTCATCTCAGGTAACCTGAGATGAGTCACTCAGAAGAACTTCCTCAGGTGAAGCTAATCCCGCCCATCCTCTCGTGCCTTAGGATAGTCATTTCAACGTCAGAAGACTGTCCGGTCAAGTGTCACAGTCAGTTGACCAGAATGCACTTATCCGAGGTTGATTTTTTAGCGTGACCCGAGAGAGATAGTGTGCAAAAGAGGGAAATCAGACAAATTTCCCGTAAGTTGCTCGTGAGTAACTTATGGGACAGTTCAGTTGACATGTGCAAAACTCACAAAACTGCACAATTTCCTGCCCAAAAGGCAGCTGATTCCGGCAAGGAAAACAAGAGAACAGAAGCTTTTTCTTTTTTCAAGGTCGCTTAGTTTTCTTTCAAAAACTGCTTCAAATAAAAATTTCTTGATTTGTTTCATCCAAATTATATCGCAACATTTTCGTTTTTTCCTAGAATTTTTCTAAAAAAATCATACTTTTCTATTATCCATTCATTTGCTCGGCGTTATCCTGATAGCGGTCACCATCGATTTTTTCGAACATGACCGCTATCGAAGGCTGCTAGACGATGGCGCAAAAATCTGCCACTAGCCGGCCTCGAGCCATTGCCTTTCGCGCTGGTGCCCATCTACTTATCCGTTCGACCAAAGCTCAAGGGGTTAGTTTTCGAGAACGGCCAAGACTTTAAGGTCTAGAAAACCGCCCGCAACCTAATCAATCGCTCTTTGATACTGCGCTGAATCGTTCTACGTTCAACCTAGCCCGCCCCCAGCCGAGTCGCGCTGAATTGAAGTTTACTACGGGCCTATATTCGAGACATGACTAATTCACAAAGACTCTGTAAGCTAAAAATTTCTACCGCGATTCTACAATAATGATTAATTGTTGGTTCGCTTTATATTGTACTCTTTGATTCAACTGGTTTGACGGCTCGAAAGCGGCTTTGTGAATTCCGAACTGAAGCTAGATAATGATCAGAGAGCACGCGCGCAACAGAGAACATAGTCTGCGCCGCAAGCGCGAGCGGCCTTAATTAGTTCACAAAGCCCCGCCTTCCAGCCGCCAAGCCGGTTGAATCTAGGGTCAAAGGCAGCGTCCCATCAGACTGGGGGTACCTGGCCTTGGTAATAATGTGATAGGAGACCCCCTAACCGAGCGACGATAAAAGTTTGCAGAAAGGAGGTCTTCGAAGTCTACAAATCGCCCCACCCCTCCCCCTCCTCCCTCCCCCCCCCCAGGAGGCCCGGATCTTACGGCAGGCTTGGACGAGTATGAGATGCATGCAAGGTAGAAACACAGAGCCCTTGTGGGACCTTGCACTCATGACTGTGTGCGCTATGCGTGCTCTGGCCTTGCAGTTCGAAATATTAATCTGTGGGCGGCGTTCGGGCCTACCGTAAGAATCGAGCCATTTGGGGGGCGATTTGTAGACTTCGAGTTCCCCCTTTCGCGCTGCAAACTTCTGTCGTCGCTTAGTTACGGGGACTATTACATTAATACCAGAGCCAGGTACCCCCAATCTTGTGGGACACTGCCTTTAAGTCTAAGCTGAAGCCAGCTCAACAAAATTGTTTTCAAGGCAGGAAAGGTTTCTTAGGAAGAGAGAGTCAACGACTAAACAGCGTATACATACTTTTGGGACACCCTGCATATAAGCAATAGGGAATCAGCTAATTCATGCTGTGCTCTTTTGGAACACATCACTCTGGGGAACGAGGTGTTGTAAACATGAAACTTTTATGGCTACGACAGACTAGTCATATACGATGTGGAAGAGGCATTTGGTGGTTTAAAGCGTTTGTTAAAAAGAAAGCATTCTTCCAGGCCTTTGAGGAAGGCATGACGTCGAAAGAGTAAGGCAACAATGAAGATATTCCAGTATCAACCTGTTACGGCATAAATCGACAATAAGTGCTGTTGTTTGTGCTTAGATTGACTACATAGGACGTTGCCTACTGAGATAGTGGGTTACTAAATTTTTTTGTTGCAATCTGTGACTTTCTGTCGCATAACAAGCTGCTCACATATGCTTCCACAGAATGAGAGAAGAATTTTGTTAAAAGAAGTGAGAAGGGGAAGTGTGAACGTATTGTCATTCTGATTAGGTTAGGCA